AAACTATAACCACCCCCAGATGCCAGAGGAAGCAGACGTGCTCAGCCTTATCCCTTGCACTGCAATTTCAATGGATTCCTAAGTTGAGCCAAAATATATTCTGGTTATAAGCAGGACACATTTCAGATCATGCCATTGTGAATTCTGAAGCACCAAAGAACCTGAGGACAGGCCTGGTCAAGGAGGAATAGCTCCCACATAGTTCAGCTGCTGATAAAACCTAGTGGTCCCCATGGGGAACTATGACCCAGGGATTCCATGGCTCTGCCAAGTAGCCCATTAGTAATTTACTGAAGCTCACACAAGTCCCTGGGTATGGCCTGTGGACCTCTACGACTTTGTTTCTCATCTCTCATTGCCACTTGAAGGTCGTAAATTCAGATCAGTGGCAGGGCTTGTGAGTCCTAAGAATTACTACCTTAGGTTCAGATTCATAAATCACCTTGAATTTGGAAATGGCCCTGACCTTTCTGGATTGATAGATGTTTATCCCAAGATGGCAGCACACCTAGCCATGGACATTTGCAATTGCCTTAATCCCATACACAAGATCTCTATTTAGAACATTTAAAATGTCCACTAACTACTACCTAAACAGTGAGCAGTGTCCCCAGGCTCCATGAGTGTCATCAGAGGCTGACACCTTTGCAGGGAATGTTACCAGGGAGTGCAATACAATGGGCTAGTTAGCAGAACTCAGCCTCTCTCATTTACCAAACTGGTTTCCATTGTCTTGCTTATGTTCACTTACAATAGAAAGTTTATTTTTGTGACAACTGCTTGTTAGTTCATGAAAGCTTTTATTTTAGTAGTTGAGCTTGTTGGGAAAGCTATTGTGCCAGGAAGCCAGGAAAGGCCTTCCCTGGAACTGTCAGGCCCTGCAGGGAGCTGGGCTGGAAGGAATGGGGACCACGACCCTTCCCCTACCTGACCTGGGGCTGCCTGCAGTGGCTCCCAGCCTTAGCAATCCCCTGCATAGTCCAGTGACTCCTCCCCTTTGGTAACTTTTCTCTTGTTGGCGGGTGGAGCAGACTGGGAAAAAGCCTCAGCTGTTGTTTAAAGCAGCACGGACAATTAACAGGCAGCTCCAGCTGGTCTCCTGAAAGCAAAACTGAAATCCTACACCTTTTTCCTCATGATAAAATTGATTTTGGCATACACTTCTGGAGTTGCTCTCATTTCCAAAAAGGGTCCCTCTGAGAGGTCAAGGGGCACTTGGGCTGGCAAAGGAGTTGTGTCAACCAAGTCTGGACCATGACAACGCCAGGGCCTGGGACAGTGGGAAGGTGCTTCTGAGAAGCCCACCCATGGCACCATCTTCCTCTTGGAGAGAATTTCTCAACACATGCAAGTCCGCCCTGGAAAACTCAAGGAATGCCTGGCCCACCCTGTCAGAGAGGGGATGGGAGAGACATGTGCCCAGGTCCTGGGCCTTCAGACCATCCAGAGATTTTGCTGGTGGTCACCATAAAAAAAGGATGGAGCACATTTGATCACACTTGTCCCGGAGCCTCTGGCTTCACTTCCGTGTTTCATTTCAGGCCCTGCTCCTTCAGAACTCCAGCTTCTAACCCTCCTCGCTTTCCCAATCTTGGAGGACGCCCTTGGACTTGGCCCATAGTCATTATCTTGTGCTTCCTACTCTTTGTTGCTTTAGGTAACACCCAGCCAGGTTCAGCCCTAAAGGGACCCCTCTCCGCACTGGCTTGCTTTGTCATTGCCCTTTGTCATCATCATCATTCAGGCTCAACAGGCCACTCTGCAGAGGGTGGTGGGGCAGAGTAGGTGGGCTTATGCCAACGAGGAGCAAATGTGTTTAAAAGTGGGGACACGATGGCAGTGAACTGGAAGAAATGCTACCACCACCCTCCAATGTCTTCTGAGGTTGGGAGACTCAGCTGCCTCCTCTTAAGGGGCCACCTGGGCCACAGAGGGGGGACCAGAGTTCAATGAAGAAATATGGTGACAAGAAATTCAGCAAACACTCTGATCACCCAGGCTGGGTTGTCTAGGACACCATGGAATGTCTAGAAGGTGAGCTGGAAGCACAGCACAGCGTGGAAACAAGAGCAAAGAGCTGCTGATGGAGTCTGGCATTTAGGATGGAAGTAGGAGGTGAGGCCTGGTGGGCGTGAGTAATACAAGTGCAAGTGTCAGGTGACACCTCAGGCCTAAAGAGGAAGAAGACTGATGGCTTGGTCTGCAACTGTCACCAGAGAGCTCTGGTGGAACTTTATCCTCAGCAGTGGTGTGAGAACCTTGGAGACTCTGGGTCAGCACTGGAGACATGAAGTGTAAGGTGAGACCACCCCCAAGAGGGTTTGCTCGGGCGAGTGGGAGACCCTCGGTGCTGAGCATCCCTTGGGACACTCTTGGTCTGCAGTGTGCATGGCCCAGTGACCCAAATGCAAGAGGCATTTCCCCACTACACATCTATATAACAAAGGCCACTTCAGCCCAGAAACACAATACTCAGCCTTTAGGTCGTTTTACCCTTGGCCGAACAGAGGCTGGGAGATTTATCTGTGCAGTTGCTTTCCCAAGCAAATGTGCTGGCTGTCTCCGAGGAGAGTGGTCTCCATCTGTTGTCTCTGTGTGTTTTAAAAGGGACATCGATGATGGGTGGACTGAACTGTCTCTTATCCCTGGAGACATAGCCCAAGTACTCTCATTCCAGCATTTTGCTTTCAATTTCTTGCCTAGAGGAGTTGAAGACCTTTTTGGCTTTAGCTTGATTTTCTAAACTTATCTCTCAAATTTTTTCAGTAATGAAGTTCCTTCTTCAAGCAATAGCTTATAGAGGCCACACCATAGCAGTGAGAAAAAACTCGGTATTTTATTAGCATGTATTTATTTTATAACTTCACATTTATAACATTTCACTTTGTATACTGTCAATAAATGACAACAATGAAGCCATTTTCACAAACAGAAAAACACATTAAATCAGTGTAATGGACAACAATTGCATCACTTTGGCCAAACAGTATTGAAAATACAATTTAGAAAGATAAACGATCACAAATGATACCTTTTCTTAAAAAAATGCTTTTCTTACAATCTTAGGGTAGTCTCTGGTTAAACTGACCCACAATCAGAAAGAAGAAATTATTGTTTCAAAGTCAGATCTCTAACGATCATCAACAACTGCTGGAATACTTATCACAAATATAAAAGACGACAAGCGCTGGAATTTAGAGTAAGAGCTGACGGGGTTTCTAATGCAACGGTATCACAACTCGACTGGAAGATTTCTTATTTACTTGTGACTACACAACTGTCAGAATACAGAGGACATGCATTGTGCGGACAGTAAGCATCATGAAAACCGTAAGAGCCTCAACGTATCGAGGGCCTTCTCTGTTCCAGACATCATGCAAAGTGCTTAAAAGGCACCATGTCATTTGATCCTAATAACAACCCTGTACGCTCATCATCTCATTTTTCAGATGAGGAAACTGATGTTTAGAGAAGCTAAGCAACTTGTTTATAGTACGCACAAATCTACCACGAGACTATAGGTCAACTGCGTCGGAGCTTTGCCTATCACGTAACTGAATGCTGCTCGTTTATGCTGTGCTAGCACACTTGACATGACATGCACGGGCTGGATTTAAATGCCCATGAGGTGCTACAACTTTTTAAATCTATGAACAATTAAGAGTAGTGTGGATACATGCACAGATACCATGAGGGAAGCTTTATTCCAATGTCTACATAAAATGAGTCAATCTGGAAATAAAAGCAAACCTGTTGGTGAATACTGGCATGTTAAAATTTGGTTATCAGCACATTTGAGTCTACCTGTTATTTATCAGAGATTTAAAGAGTTTAAAATACATTCCGAAGATGACGCTGATGAAAAATCTCTGCAGAACTGTGGAGCACACTTTGAAAGCCATTATGATGGTGGAGAGTGGATTAGTTTGAGTCAGAGAGTTCTGGGCTTCTGTCTAGACTCTACCACTTCTCAGCATTTGGGTGTTGAGACCACTTAACCCATCTGAGCTTCAGTTTCTTCCACTTTATAAAGAGCAAAATTATACCACAATAGGATTGCTGTACACACTCATGAGATACGCATGAAACACCTTGCACATAGTAGGCTCTGAATAAGTGTGTTATTTTTCTCTCCTCTTTGCCTTTTGCCGCCACTAAAACCTTCCTCTCTAAGCAGGCTGGCCTGTTCGCTAAATCCAAATTGCCCTGCACATCCCCCGTCCCATACGTGCTGTCCTCTCATGTCCACCCTCTCTTTGGGGACCTCTTGAAAGCAGAGATTAGGCCAAGTCATCTGTGTCTTCAGGGCCTGACACAGCACCTAGCTCTGGAACCATCTATCTGACACCTAGCAGAGCGGGGGGAGGAGGAACACTTCCCAGGTAAGAGAAGAAAGAAACCTACAGGCGGAGATGGTCCTGGTCACTGGGTGATGACACGTCTATGTGAGTTATGAACTTATTTACACAAAGGGTTGGTTACCCTTTCACCGGTCTAGGCCATCTGCTCATCTAGACTGGAACTTCCCTGAGGGCCTGGCCCGTTGTGTAGGTTTATATCTGCTTAACCACAGATCTTAGCTGTGGTCTGTAACTCCTCGTACGGTGTCTCACAATGCTAGGTACTCAAGAGAGAATCTGCTGATTGGAGAAAGGAAAATACCTGACAATTCGAACAGCTTCGTTTGTCAAACAGTTACAAAAGATATTTTTTTTCAAATGTCAATTCTTTCTTCTATGGTATGGTAAACTTCGGCTTATTTGGGGGTACTTAAAGGAAACTGGAAGTATAATGTTTTAGATACCTTTAGGGCTTACTGATGTTTGGAATTTAATCTTTTGCTTATTAATAATCTACCAAGGGTCTAAGATCTCCCAAGTATTTTTTTTTTTAGGAAGAAAAATCAAGAATTGGCTAGAACGCCTTGATTTCAGTCTCATATTGAATCAATTAATTCAATTCATTAATATTCAATAATAATTGATTAATATTTCACATTAAAGAAAAACACACTGAGAAGGTCTTAGCCTAGCAGAGTTAATGTTCCCCAGGCTGACCGGGGTCCTACTCCCAGGAGGTCTTTAGTTGTCTCCTTCATTGTCCCAGCGGTCATAGCCAACCTCTTCCTCAGGCTCTTCGATGTTCTCATTCTCGAAGGAGGCCTCTTCCTCCTCCTCTTCCCGTATTACCTTCATTAACTCAAGGAAGCTGGGGGGCGGGCCCTGATCCTTCAGCTCCCTAAGCCGACACCACAGGATCTCGTTCAGGGTGGCCCCCGCCATGACCTGCTCCAGGCGCACCTGGTCGGCTATATTCCTAGGGATGGCCCGTTTCTCCACCGCTCTGCGGAGCAGGGTTTCTAACCGTAACACATAGGCTGACACTTTCTCTCCTTCCTCCTGATACGTCTTCAGATACCTCACCTGGGAGGTCCTGCGGCTCTCCAGGCTCCCGAACACTTGTTTAAACGCCTCCAGACACTCTTCCACGCTGATAGACGGGTTGTCTGCCTGCACTATGTGCATGAGGTCCAGGGCAGGGCCACGCAGACTTTCCATCAACCACCTTTTCTTTTCTGCCTCTGCTACTGGCCACTCTTTGACTATCTCAGTGGCCTGTTCCAACCAGATCTCAAAGGGCTCTTCCTCGGGGGCTGGCACAGCGCTCCCCGAGAACACTCGCAGCTTCCGGTATCGCATGGGTAGCAGGGGCTGAGGGGCATGTGCTATTGCCTGCCCCACCAAATGGGCCAATAGCTCTGGTGATACACAGGGCACTGTGGCTGGAGACACCCCCTCGTGCCCAAGGGCTCGGAACATACCCGAGACTGTCTGCCCCTCTTTTTCTAGAAAGAGGTTCAGTCTTTCAAGAAATTCGGTGTCCTGGTTAGGGGTCTTAAAGATCACTTTCCAGACACCCCCCTTCCCCTGAACCTCACTGGGGATCACTGAGACATCAGTGTCCTCCATAAGCTCCAGTAAAACTGCATTGGCATTCTCCTGCTTCCGGAATATCTTGCCAAGCAGTCGATACCTGCCCAGAGACTTTAACGTCTCCTGAAGGACCTCCTGGATCTCAGCCTCATCGCAGTCCACCGGTATCCCCATGACCATCAGCGACTTCTGCTCATCCACACTCATGATCCTGCACCAGTCCTCCAACAGTGCCAGCGCCATTGTTCCAAGACCTCACTCACCCTAAGTCTATAGGACCAGTCGGTTAGTGGTGCCGATATGCACTTAGGATCAAAAATACCCTCGACGAGCTTCTAAGCTTATCACCCGCCAGTGAATGAGTCCCAGGCTAGGTCACTCCAAGACAGTCTCAAGTTTTCTGGACCAGCGACCCGTGCCTTCCCAGTGGCAAGAACTCAGCACTTCCCAGTATGTCTTTAGACCTGGCCCAAGGTGGGTGGCTTGTGTCTCAGTTCTGCAGTCTGGTTGCTGCTGTCTCTGTCACTGATGCTGGCAGCCACTTGTGCTCACCCTGCTCTGACCGTCTGCCGAGGCACCTGGGACAGCTGCCTTCTGCACAATCTCCTGGTCTCTGATGCTTTGCCTCTCTCCAGTCAGTGGGAAGATGCCTTCCACTCTGGCACCTGGAACTCTTGCAGGGAAGGCTCCTGGCAGGACAGCTTGGAGCCCTAGTGAGACAACGTTCAGTTTTACCACACAGCCCTCCTTCCCAGGAAGTGTCAGCGCTCTAGTTTGGGATGGGACTGGAGACAGCCCGGGGGTCCTGCCTCACACTGTGCTGTGTCTGACCCACTCTGTCACAGCCCTTCTCTGCTTACTGTGACTTTTTTTCTCTCAGGGACCCCACTGAAATCTGGCTTCCCTGCCATGCGCTCATCAGACATGTTGATTAATGTCTGAGCCCCAGCTGTGGACAGGAGTCAAGAACTTTGCCATGTGAAAGATAAAAACAGGAGATGTGGCTAGATACCTGTTCAGGTGTTCTGGAATGTTCCGCAAGAGTCCAGAAGCTTATTTATTCAGCTTCTAGCACAGGAAGATGTCCCCCACCTCCACACAGTGGCATGTCCACATCAGATCCAGTCAAGCCAAGTGCCCTGTTACACATAAATAAATAGTAACATATCTTTATGTTTCACTTATTTGAAAACATGACAGTCCTTCACAGTTCCACTAAATAATATTAAACTGCTTCACTTTTTTGATTAAAAAAATCTAAGAATCACTCAAACATTAAAAATAATTTAATAGGGGTGTATCAATTCGGAAAAAAATCTCAGGGCCAAATAAGTTAAATTTGGAATTACAAATTAATTCTCTTTTGCTATGGGTCTGGTGAAGCTTTGCAAACGCACAACTAGGTGCTATTTTTGCTATGAATGGTAAGTTACTAATAGTTTCTTCTCAGCGCTTGAATGAATGGGTCTTTGGAGAAAAAAGAACAAGGGAGGAAACACACCTGTTAAGGAGCTGGTTCTGGAGGGCCTGTGGGGTTTGGGAAAACGTGAAAAGGGATTATCTCGTAATAGCTTCCAGTTACCTTCGTGGAGTGTGCTGGGGGCTACAACCATTTTCCCCTTGGCTGAAAGTCCCCATCAATCCGAATGGGGTCCCTATGCCACAAATGCCAACCTGTAGGGATATTAGCAGCTGCTGCTGCTGCAGGCTCATCTCCCGAGTCTTCTGGGAGGGTGCCGAAGGCACCAGGGGTGTCCAGGAGGACAAAATGCTGTTTCCCCCCATGCCAGCAGCCCCAGGGATGGAGACTGCCCACTTCTGACTGTTCCCTTCCAAAATATGGTGGAGGTCTTCCTTCCCATTGGAACATTTAGAGGAAACATGGGCTGTATAAAGGCATTGAACGCCCAGGAAGAAACATGTCTAAGCTCTACATAACTGTCATGCTAAAATTAGGCTACTTTTAGATGGCTCTTCCTCCCAAAGGCAATCCCTACCTGCAATGCGGCCTTCAAATAAAAAGATGGCAAGTGAGATGCCCTTGATATATAATAGGGCCTCGGATGGAAATATTGGAATACAGAAAAAAAAAAGTAAGAAACTTATATTTTCTCACATAAAGGGGGCCACAGCACAAGCTGGAAAAGGAGCCAGACTTTGAGGTGGAAGACCCCACTGGAATTGTTGGGTCATTTAACTATAATAAATACCTGATCTCAGGCAATGCATCCGATCTCTCTAAATCTCAGTTTCCTGACCCGGAAAGCCCTGAGGATAAGCATTCATCTCACAGGGCTGCCGTGGGTAGGAAATGATGTAATTCATGTGGAAGCGCTTTATTCAAACGCGAAGCACATCTGATGCTAACTCCAAAAAACTCGCCTGGGATCCTCTCAACACCTGCACGCGTATATCCGTCTTCGTGCTCCCCTTGGTAGCCGGAGATACTTTTCTCAGATTTCAACCTGTAACTGCTTGTCCTCCAAATTTAACTCTATTCATCAAAGTAGCCTTCACAATTGGGGGTGAGGGGGAATATCCGCATTTAATCCTTCCAGGGGCAAGGGCTGACAATGGAACCAAACCCTTGGTCGCACTGCCCTGCATGATGGCCCTGCGCTAAACTGCCTCTCTCGGCCCAAACCCACCCTGGTTACTGAGCATGCCCAGACCGCCCTCCCGAGCCGCCAAAGGATGGGCATCATTTCTGCAGGATTTTGTCACCGTAGAAAGAGAGGCAGAGCTCTAACCCACCAGAGGCAGGGAATGATACGAGCTAAGGACAAGGAAATGGGAATAAGCAATGAAGGACCCTCAGAGATCGCGTTACCTACACAAATGAAAATACCCCCTAGACCCTCGCTAACGCGGTGGCCGTGGCTGAACTACCCACGTACACACCAGGTTCCCACACATCTTTCCCCTGCTTGGCCCCACACAATTCACGGTACTCCCAGCCGGCACCCTCCGCCCAATGAACTTGCGCCCCAGGCCCGCGGCATCTGGCAACCTGGGAAACCTCATGGCTGTGGCGCAGTGCGCAACAGAGGCGCGGGGCGGGGAAAAGTGGGGGACGAGGCGGGGCGCCGCGGGGAAAGGCTGGTGATTTAGGGAGTGGGTTTCAATCTGTTTTTTCTCCTCACCTGTGTGTGTGTGTGTGTGTGTGTGTGTATGGGTAAGATACTAAATCATGACGCTCTCCTGGCCTCTTCTTGGCGCAGTGGCGCAGATACTGCATATGGCGCCCTCGGGCAATATAGCGGGTCTGCACTCTCTTTAAGTCATCGCTTAGGGCTGGGATTTGCTACGCCCCTCTGCATTTCTTCCCGCCATGTTGTGCGACCCCCGTTGCCGCCACCGCCACCACCGTGGGTGCACTAAGCGAGAACCTCCTAGTTTCAGTCTCTGCTCCCCGCAGCCCACCAAGGCGCGTGGGTAAACTGAAGCTTTGGTGTCCCGCGCCTCGGCTGGCCCCCTCTGTCCGCGCTACCTGCGTCACCCCTTGCCCATCCCCAGGGCCGGCCGCCTTCCAGCCCCCGATTGTCCTGGCGCCTGCCAGTTTGTCCCCCTTTCCCCGGCATCTGCTGTTACCAGGGTAAGGAGGCGGGAGCCCCATGCACCGTGCGCACTCGCCCCTGGCCCACCTCCGCAATGCGGTGGGGGAAAGGCGCCCGAGCCGGGCAGGTAGGGGAGAGGGGCGCGGAGGCCAGGGGCTGCGCCCTCCAGTCCTCGCTGCCGCGCACCCTGCCCCATACTCACCCTGGCGCCGAGAGCGGTCAGCGGGCCCTCCGCTCCGCATCCATTAGCGGGTGGTCTGGCCGCTTCACTTCCGGAGCGCGGGGCTCGGGGTGGCGCCGCCCTCCCCTACTTCCCCCTCTCCTCCCCTCCCCTGCTCACCGCTCCCCTCTCCTCCCGGTCCCCCCTCCCGTCGGCTCCCCGGCGCCGCGCCCCGCCCCCGCCCCGCCCGCGCCTCCCCCTCCCCGCGCTGCCGGGAACTGGCAGCCTCTCGGCTCGGCTGCCGCAGCGGCCGCCCTCCCAGACCCAACTTTGCCGCTCGCCCGAGCTCGCGCGGTGGCTGCGGGGGGCGTGGGCAGGGAGGGGAGAAAGCGGGGTCAGGGGGAGGGACCGGGAGGGTGGGTCGCCGGCTCGCCAGCCCTCCTTCCTTTCTGTACACCTTGCGGTAGGCAGAGCGCGGCAGCCGCGGCAGCAGCTAGGGGTCTGTGCACACAGAGAGGGAGACCTAGACGGACGGACGGACGGAGACGACCCTCCCCGAGCCCCGCGCCATGGCCGAGAGAAAGCAATCCGGGAAAGCGGCAGAGGACGAAGAGGTCCCTGCCTTTTTTAAGAACCTGGGCTCGGGCAGCCCCAAGCCTCGGCAGAAATTCTGTGGCATGTTCTGCCCGGTGGAAGGGTCCTCGGAGAACAAGACCATCGACTTCGACTCGCTGTCGGTGGGCCGGGGCTCGGGGCAGGTGGTGGCTCAGCAGCGGGACGTCGCCCACTTGGGCCCGGACCCGCAGCCGCCGTACTCACGGCAGGGCCGTCGCGCCAGCGGGGAGCCATCTGTTGAATCGGCCCGGAAGGTGGAGATCCGGAGGGCCTCGGGCAAGGAAGCCCTGCAGAACATCTACGACCAGGTTGGTATGGGGGTGGGGGGTGGAGACGAAGGACGGGGCGCGGGGATCGCCCCTCCCTCGCCCCCTTACCCCAGCGCGCCCGCCTTCTTGCCCCGCCTTGAATGTCGCCTCCCGCATCTGCACGCGAGCCGCGCCCTGCCCGCCCCTTCCCCGCGCAGGGTGCGGCGAGGCTCGGGCTCGGCGGTGGACGGCTGTGCGCCCACAAAGGCGGCCCGCAGCTCCCCGAGCCTGGGAGGTGGGGGGTGGACGGAAAGGACAGGCCGATCTCCGGCTGGGAGTGGGAGTCGCCTGGGAAGGGGGTGGGCATCGGTTCCATTCTTCTTAAATCCTCCCGGGCGGCTTCGGATTGCAGCTGTGGCTGGGTGCCCCACCCTTTTTTGATGCAGCTCGGAGCGTGCAGGGGAGGGTCTGCGGAAGGCCCGCGGGCTCCCCGGGGGTCGGGAGGGGCGGGGGTTCCGATGGCCGCTCCCCGCCGCACCTCCTCGGGCGCCTTCTGTGCGCACATCTCGAGCTCCGAGGCCAGCACCACGGTCAGCGCCTCCCTGGACCGCCTCGGAGGATCTCACCACCCTTGACTCCTGTTCGCAGCTTGAGAAGAGCGAG